CTAACATAATAAGCACAATTGGAATTCTAATTCAACCTCACCAAATTTTCCCAAAATTTCTCATCCCTTAAAAAAAGGTTTATTCAATCGTCGCGCTATATTTTCAACTAAATTGCTGTGCCGATAGAACAATAGCAATCGATTTGGAAGAAAAATGATTATTGTTTCGGAGTCTACGTTTCGGAGGATGGTATTGAAGGAATCTTTCCAATCAGATTCTGTTTATACTTTTTAGGATTAGATTTAGTAGTCATTCGTTCGGAATCACTGCTGTATCCTAGGATCAGGTGGAGATCAGGTGGGGCTGTATTAAAGGTAGTGTAGGAAAAAAAAAAGATTCCACGGAAAAGCTTCCGAGGAGGGCTTCTGAAAGAAAGATAAGATTTATTAAAGGAAAGGGCAGTTATATTATTAATTTGAAATGTAAAACTAAAAAACCTATCTAAACTATATAAGTAAACCCAGTCTGAAAAACATCTCAGTAGGAGTTGTCTGCACATGAAGGAAGTAAGACGGGTCCTGTCAAAGTTCAAATACCCCCACATTACACTGCCATGAATGTTACATTTTGCGGCATGCACAAATGCATGTTTTCATAAGCATGAACCTTCCATTTACATTTTAAAACGAATTTCAAGCTTAACAGCAATAGGAAAACACAACAAAACATCAACAACTCACTTCTCAGCGGTTTGCGTCACTTTAGACATGAAATCGCGTAGGCGAATTGATGCATGACACAGAATTATGAATAACGGAAGTAGTACGCTTAAATAAGAGGTTATAAATACGGGCAGTAAATTCGCCGACAGTAAATTTGAGCTATGAAAAAATTTATTTAATCAAATTAAGCGATTGAATCTCACCTAAACAGCACTGTGAGCACTGACGGAAGTACTTGAATAAAGAAATAACAAGATAGGATTATCGCACCAAGGGTTATTAGTGGATGATCGCGACGAGTCTAAAACACGGCATTTAATAACAAAATTGTCAGAACTAGTTGATAGACGATATCCAAAATCTAAAAGGTAAAAGCAGTGGGAAAAGGCCAAATTGGAACAGTTTTAAAACTTTTACTAACTTAAATACATCCAATTTTTTCTTCACTTTACATTTTCGATAGAAAATGATCTATACACCCACAGTGTGAAAAAGATCTAGCGTGTTGTAATAAAATTGTAATGGATGTCTTCAGTGACAACTGATTAATGGCAATGAGAAAAAGGGTGAGTACTGCCGAGAACCCTGCACCTGCAAAGTCAACCTACAATAATAACAGCTTCGTAATAATATTTTACCCATTATCCGTTTGTGTGGTCAACTTTAACCCCCCCCCCCCCCCCCAAATCCCCGCTGAATTCTATATATCTTAAACTTCTCCATTCCCTCCTACCGAGACTACTGAACTTTGTTTACAGCATAAAAGCTAGTTACGAACAGTTAAGGGTCAGGCCCAGATTGGGGAATGCAGGGAACTCAGTAATGGCTTGGAGGAATGACCGTCCGTCTTGAAGAATGACTTCACTAATGCAGCACGATAACATGATGAAAACAAGCAGTAATTTAGCAGAGTAATCCACAGGCTAGCATGAGCAAAGTAGGATTAAGACGCCTATAAAAGATAGAATGGCAGATGACTAACCTGATAAAAAGTTGGATTATCCGAAATTGCAAAGCTGACTACAGCTGCAACTACTAAAACAGCGGACAATCCAAGTGCCAAATCCTGCAATGCAAAATTCCAAATCTAAACCAGTCATTATACATAACCGGTTGGCGGGGGCAGGCATAATATTAACCATTATATACCTGTGAATTGAAGAAACTCTGTAAAACGAAAAGTACACCAAACACAAGAAAGTAATTAGTTTGATAGTAGAGGAGGTTCGATATGATGCGATTGTTCCATCTTGGTAAGTCATTGTAGGGTGGGAGCTGAAATTACGATCTTTAATGTAGTAAGTGTAGTTTAAATATTTCGCTACCAAATTACTTTGAAATAATTGTTACTTAACCGTCCCTACACCTATTTTTGTTAAACTTTCAACCATTTCAGCAGGCCAACTTCAAGCTTTTAGTAGCGCTTTGCTTCCGAGAAATCGAATCCAACCGATCCGAAAATTCGCACAGCAAAGAATCGATTTCTGCTAGCTTACCTCCTTTCTTCGAAGTTACTCAACAATAGTGGGGAGCGGAGCTAACTACAGTGGTATTAGAACTTACCAACATAAGTGTCTGCTGAGAGCAGTTTAAATAGTGGGGATGAACATCTGTATCTGGGAAAGCAGTTGGGAAACAAAAAATACTACAAGCTCCATCCGACCTTTCAGATGTTCTGCAGAGCATAAGAACTCGGACTTAATCCCTAGAGAAAAACAAACCAAAACATCAAAATTTCAGGTAGTTTTCAAACAATGTTGCACCAATAACTATTATCCGATAATTGAAGAAATCCGACAAGTGAGGAGAGAGCCTCAGAAGAACGAGTATCGGTAAGATTACAAGAAGTTGTTTGTCAATTCGTTGATTATATTCACGAGCTACGTCGCCATGAGTCATAAGCTGCTTATTTTTTTCTGGAATGCTTTATGAAATGCGAAACACCAAGAACTTTTATTTATTTATTCAGAAGCTCTTTTCACTGAAAGGAGGATGCTTGGTGAACATTGAATATATGTAGTGAAAATGCTACCGAATGGAAAATTTGAAAGACTCGAATCTCCTGATCAAACAAGAAGTTTCCCAGTAATCAAGGTGAGCAACAATTCTCTCAACGATAATTTCTCATGTCTATTTGTAACATTGATTATAGCACGGGAAACTCAAAACTTGCACTGTGACCATCTAATTTCAATCCTCAAGCTACTCCCCCACCCCAACCCTAAAAGTCTGCGGCATGCCTTAATCCTTGTAAGCATTTCTAAAAACCAATTTGGACACATTAGACTGATGAACACTAACCTCGAAACGTGCTTTGCCAAGAATGAAATCGTTGACTGAACGAAATGGTGGCAGTTCAACGCCATTTCCCAAACGATATGGCACTTCGTGAGAGGTCGCCGCGTTCTCCGACATACTGAATGTCACTTTTTGAGAAGATAGGTATTTAGCACAGAATAGTTAATCCCATATCATTGCCGCAAAGCGAGAACGAAAGCTTCCGAAGCGATTAATACGAAAACCAAAAAACGACGTGGGCTGGGAGAATCCCACACCCGAAAGTCACAAAAAGTTTGCTTTTTGATGATTGGAGGACGTAAAATTGATGGCTCCTCTTGAAATTGAAAATAATTACAAAAAGATTTGTAGAAAGCCGGCGATCGATGGCTATCCAAATCGCTATCAAGCAGGACAAGAAAGAGTACATCTTTTGATAGGAGGGGATACCAGCTGACAAGAGCTGTCACCGCAGTAAAAAAGTCTCTGACAGAAGAGTACGGAAGGGCTGACGGAATACAATCGAACATCAAGGAAAGGCCAATCAAACAGGCGTTTGACAGAACCTCTATCGAAATGAATACATTCAATAGCATCAACATATGAAAAGTTCAAAAGAAAGGCGACTGAAAAGAATAGAGGAGAGTGGAAAGCGAATGTTTGCGAAAACACGTCCCGATTAACTTCACATAACACCCACGGGAACCTGATTTTGCCTGGTCTCCTCTCGAACATACATAACCCTCACTGCAATGGCACATTCACTGAAAACTCACCGCTTTATTAAACAGCTCTTGCTATCGATACCACCTTTGCAACGTTTTTATACTGCTGGAAATACCATGACTTTTTGTCGCATTTTTCTGCTAGCCGTGAAGAATCAAAAAACGCTCCTGAAGCTTCCCAACCGATTCTCTCCCATTAGTTGCAGAATGGGTTTTTTTTTCAAAAGGGCAGGCAATCTCAATTGCCTCTTTTCTCAGTCGTATACTTATAGAAAAAGGGGTATCGATTATGGGCCAACAACTTCGATAAGCAATTTGATGGAACATACGAAAATACTGCAGTAAGCTAGGAAGGATTCAGGGCTGCTTCATATTGCGGAAGAAATTCGGAGTAGTCCTCAAATCCTTCAACTCAAGGCTGCTAGTCAGGAAATTTAAAAACCCAAAAAACTTCCCTAGAAATCAGGTAACAGGGAAATAACCGCCTACTGGGTAGATATCCCTGATTTTAGCTGGTCCACAGATCGTACCCCTGGAGCTCTTCACTCCTATTCGCACGAAACGGAGAACCTCAAGCATTCCTCTCTCGAGTGGCCGGTGAAAGAGCGCTGGACGCAAAACCGCCCTGTTTTCATGATGCCCAACACTCTGTGTGCACATTGAGGCGAAAGTACTTTTGAAATGAAGACATCAACCATGAAAATCGATGACCTTCAGGCACTAGGACGATGGTGCTCTTTCATGCCATCAGTTGACAGAGATGATGTCAACATCGAGCAGGGATTCGGGAAAAGGGAGGCAATCTGTATGTTTACCAATCGGTCATAAAAATCGGATAAAAAACAAGACTCCCCAGTACTGTACTTAACTTGGAAGCAGTGGTTCTCGACTTTACATCAAGATAAGAGCAATTTTACCCACAAACTGAAAAAATTTAGGGCAAATAACAACCGCATAGCAAGAATAGCTCATGAAATTGGCGCAGCAATTAGTAACCAGGGACTGGTCTGAATCTAGTCGAACACGCTATCAGCAACTAACAAAACAATGAAATGAACTTTGCCCCACTTGAGTACCGCTACAACCCTGCGAGAGATACTATTTTGAAGTGGGCGATTTCTTCAGCGGAACTGAAGTTTTTTTAGAAAGCGGATTGTCCCACCAACCAACGTTTTTACGAGGAAATGCCCGGAAGATAGGCGAGTTCTATGATGACTCCGTAAGAAATACTTTAAAGTTAGTCATGCAACACTTCTATTTTTGCCCTAAACAAAGGCTATTCATTCTCGTCCGATCAGAAAGTTAGTCATCGATAATAGTGAAGTATTCTAACGACCCTCTCAGCAGAATTCCACATTTTGGGGCAAGTAAACCTTTTAACTTTACTTGGCTGGATATTTGTTGTACTTAAAGCTTATTACAATGAAATGCATGAGAAATCTCAAAGAGAAAATTGCCGATAGCAAAGGAAACTTCCAGAGACACCGAATTTCGAAACACCCATTAAGTGGCGACGTAACGAAATACAGGAGCCGACAAAGCGTCGAACATTTGAATTTAGTCGTAATGTGGGAGGTGGCGCGTGCACTGCGACGTAAGCACTCGAACTGGCGGCAAATTTGAAGTGCTGTGTGGAGTGTGGGTGTGTGGACCCTTATAATCAGTGTGATATTGAAGGCAGTACGTTAGTTTCACTTCACATCTGTTTTCAAAAGAGAATCATTGGTGGGTAAGAGAGATCCGCCTGAAAAGTTGAACCGGTAGTCAGTTACTTGCCCCATAGATGTTGGGTTAATTCCTTCCACCAAGATCTTGAAGCAAGTGTAATCCCAGGGTTGGCCAATGCTATCTTTAAAGTGTTTGATATAATCTTTTAATGCTGCGGGACCCCAGCTAGACATGTTACAGAGTTAGGGCTTCTCCGGTTTTTAGATGTTTGACTGCTTCCTATTTTGGGTTCCCCCGACCTCTCTACCGTACTACTGGGAAGACGACTAGTTCCGGATAGATTGAACAAAGTATCTGAAGACACACCGGTACTGTAATTCGTTTGTTAAGCTTATCACCCTTCTCCGTTCTCTTCCTGGAAACCTTTGATAACGTTCGAATAAAAACTAGAATTCAATTATAGAAGGTAAAAATGATAGAAATAATAATAATAAGCAATATAATTATTTCGCCGCAGTACCGATGCAGAAGCCCCACAAAGATGAGGAAACGTGGGCAAAACTTTCACCTCAGACTGGAATCGAACCCTTACCCGTACTTTACGGGCGCCAAGCTCTTTGTCCCTTACACTATTGTGCTACTTATATAATAGCAATTGAGTAACTATAACCATTTCATTAATCCTAAATATGTAGTTTGTAGGCCCCGAATTGCATTGGTTAGGTATACGTTGAGCGCATCCACACGGAAATTAAGGGCATGGCGCATCCCGACACGGGATTGGCCAACATTCAAAAGGAGCAGGAAGCCCTCAAGCTTGTTGAATACAGCGATTTAATCAGCATTATTTTGGTAATGCAAAGTAATTCATTTTGAATATGTAATTTTACTCATTTATATTATTATTAAAATTCATAATTGAGAAGAATATCAAGTTATTCAGTTACATGTAAGTTAATTGGAGAAATGATAAATAACATCAGTCTATTAATAATACTGTAATAGGTCGTAACATAGTGGTGGTAATTAATGTAAATAATAAAGAATTTAATGTATAAAGGAGCGCCTTAGGTAAGCAGGGCGTTCTGGAAACGGTGGTCCATATGGGAGCGTTCCCTATTGGTGGATAATGACGTAGCTCACAATTTGACTAATAAGGTTCCGCAAGGGTTCACTGTCGATTCCTAGTGTGATCGACCTCTGTAGGTTT